GATGGACAACATGTCACTCCAAAGGGCTCCTCTGCTCACACAAGGAGACGTCTGGCAACGTCTGTGCAACACGTAGCTGTTGCTTCAGAGGATTTTATGGCTCCCTCTCTTTTCGGTTCCCAACACTACAGAGCAAGACATCCAGGTCTATTCATAAAGTTGACCTCATCTCTCAATACTTTAACTGCCTGGGAAAAAGGTTTATCATTAGCACAAATTAGGGGCAATAAAATATCTAAAAGAGCCTGGGTATAATGAGCAGAGCAGCTCATTCACTGTCACATTAGAATGCCCAGTGCCGGTCCCTGAGCTTAGTGTAATGTGTAACATGTACTGGGACTTAGATGCAAACTTCCATCAGGGTCTGTCACTAGGACTTGTGTCAATCCCGTTAGCTGTTTTCCCCACTGCTCTTCCTAGAGCCAGTGCTAAAAATAGGCCCTCTTTCAGAGTAATGTTCAATTTGGGGGGTGGGGGAGTGGGGATTGAAATTAGTAACTCAATTGTCACAGGATTAGGGCTATTAAAATCCAGCAAGAATTACTTCAAGTGCATAGAAAACACTTCACAAAATCCACTTCATGGGAAAACCATTTCATGTTCCATTTAAGGATTGACTATTCGCCAAAATTGTCTTCTGAGCAACACTGCTTCCAGCTGAAGTTTGAATTTTTAATGAGAATGCATTTTTAAAGCAGCAGAGGCTTGTCATGAGTGTGCATAAGTGGACAGATTTGCCAGGGTTTCTTTGTTAAGCTCCCACAGAAGAGCAGGAAAACCTGGCTCCACGAAGGGGATGGGGAGCTCACCTTAGAAGCTGAAGGAGGGATGGGCTTTCTCTTGAAAGTTAACCCTTCTCTTCGAAAAGGTGCTGGCAGTTCTGTGGCTCTTGCTGATGTGCAAAAACCCTTTCCTCACCTTCCTTGTCCTCAGCAGCAGTTATCCAGTTAAAACGATTGCAAAACAACCTGCTCACATTGCGTTGGGGTCCCCCAAATGCTCTTATTTTAAGAGTGAAGCCGAGGGCTCCTTGGAATTCTATGCAAAGATCAGCTAAGGCAATGTCGTCTGTGATGGCCAACTTGACTGAGCCATGGAGCATCCAGATATTTAGTTAAACATTATTCTGGGGGTGTCTATGAGGGTATTTCAATTGGTGGGCTACAGAAAAACGATTGTCCTCCCAATGTGGGCGCGCCTCATTCAATCTCTTGAAGGCCTGAATAGAATTAAAGGCAGAATAAGATAAGAATTCTTAATTCTCTCTCTCTGCCTGGAAGTCTTTGAACTTGGCCCTGGGTTTTCTCCTACCTTTGGGTGTGTACAGAAACTTTATCATACGCTCTTTTAGTTTTCAGGTCCTTAAACCTGAATTGGAACTACACCAATGGCTCTCTTGAGTCTCTGGCTTACAGATGGCAAATGTTCTAACCTCCGTAATCCTTGAACCAGATAGAGAGATAGCCAGTCATCTTCTCCTGGTTCTCTTTCTCTGGAGCCCCTGAATAATCCTCCTAGAGCACACCGATGAAGCTACATATGAGCCGGCCCCTCCATAGAGCATAGACTGTCACCTTACAGCACAGGAGAGGCGCTGGCCAAAGTCCTTAAACTATGGGGGAGGCATCTCAGGGCTTCTTCTCAGCACTGAGGAAGGACCACATTCCCACATCTTTGGGATATGGTTATTGACTTTTCATACATCAACTCAAGCCTAGGGAGCTACATGGAAAGAGCATCCCAGTAATTATTAGTCCTGCTTATCTCTGGAGGAAATTTGGATGGCAGTGAAAATGTCACCAAACATATTAAAAATTTCCCCATTACTAACAATAACCTTCAAGCATAATATTTTAATTCAGAAGACTTCATTATCTCAGAGTTTCCTCTCCCATTATCAGCTTGTAATCGTATCCACATCATCCCCTTTTAGAAAAGAAACTTACAAATAATGGTTCATGAGTTGCTCCAGTCCTTTTGAATAGGAAAAATGCTGGAATCTCCAAAAAGCATCCTTCCTGTTTCCCATCACTCATCTCTTTCAGGTAGGCATCAGTGTGCGACCTCAGTAAATTTGATAAAATAAGAGTTTACCAGCTTTTTATTTCTGAGGAGGGAAGTGAATAATGACTTTCCAGCCCCTCAGTGGCACCTGTATTTTGAGGATGTGAGGAAACGCAGGCCTATTAGAGGAGCTTGATAGGAGGGAGTCCTGAGCGGTCCAGGTGGTGGCAGCATCTTTAGTCTTGAGACAAGCACATTAGGCTGGATGTTAGCACATCTCCTTAATTGGATTTCCTGCATAAATTGCAAGACAGGGTGGACAAGTGATAGGGGAATAAATACCTTTTTCCCCCTTAAAAAGAACCAAAACATGTAAACATCCCATCATGTATGAGGAAGTGTCTGTGCATATTATTGAAAGAGGAAAAACAATTTGAAGAGATGAGAAGATAGCACAGGGTAAAAGCTGATATTCTTCTCTTATAACGGATAGCCCCAAGTTGTAAAGGCCATTATTTCTTGCATTTTCAGAGCAAATGAACTTGACAGATGGCCGTGTCACCCAAACCCCCACCTACCAACTTGATTATGCAGAAAACAATACAATAGAAAAGAAATCATTACTGAAGGAACCTGGTTAGTCCACAGAGGGCCAGCGAATGCAGAAGAACAAAATTACAGTGGTGGAATTGAACAGCAAGAATGCATTTAACATAAAGTGGGTTACAGCAAGGCAATCAGTCATGGCTAAAGCTATTGTCTGGACCTGCTTGCATGGTATATGAAGTCATCTGTCATCTCCCATGGAATTCAGCCTTAGTTTATAGGAGAAACTACAGAGGTTTTGCTAGGACATGTCTTGGTAGCCTTAAGTAGCTCAAGTGTGGATCCACAGAAATAAAATGGGGTCATTTTCAGATGCTTCCCTGCGGTCAGTGTTTGAGGGGCTGTGATTGTATCACCGAGTGCTGCCATCCGATGTTCACCTGGCCCAAACGATGCTCTTTGGGGAAAGTTAAGCACAAGGCTTATTTCAACTTCAACTTAGTGCGTGCTGCTTTATACCAGCATCAGGAATGCAACAGTACTGGGCAAGAAGATAGGAAGCCAAAGTTCAAATCGGACTTCCTAACAGTTAGAGGAGAATGTTTCCACACGCCCCGGAAGACAGATATTTTCTACCGTGGCAGTACATAATTGTAAGAACAGGTGAAAACTTAATAAATAAGCACTGTCATAGTGGGGCAGGCAGCAGAGATAAATGGTTAAATTGCCATATGAGCTATCCTAGGCATATCAGCCCCCAAGATGACAGAAGGTGTTTTAATACCAGCGATGACTTCTTAGGAATAAGTTAGTTTCACTACTCCCTTCCTGAACGTCAGTGAGATTTTCTGCCATTGTGTCTTCCTGCCTGGTGTTCCTCCCATCTGAAAACATCTTCCCCACCCATCACTGTTTCTTGAGGCCATGGCTAGCCTGAAAGCCCAGCTCAAATTGGACTTTCGGCAGACAACCTGCTGTGTGCATGGTTTGCACCCAATTATCACAAGACCCCTTTTTTTCCCTGGCACTACAGTTCTTTTGGTCCTGTCTTGGCTCTCCTATGAGACCTCACACTTCCAGGACAAGTGGCTGTGTCATATCCACCCATCTAAGTAGCTATCATCTGTTACATATTATAATCTCTCTTTATATAGGTATGCTATAGACATTTATCTACTAGTACATATCATATCTAAATATTAACCCTATACTGTTTAGCAGAACACCATATTTACTCTCATATCAAATACACAGATACACAGATACTTAATAATTTAATTTAGTATGATTTTAAATATATTATATGTAATATTTAATATTCACATAATTAAATAACATGCATATAATAACCCTATATAATAAAAGCCTAATATGCAAATTGTCCCCTCAGGTGGTGGTTCGACTGGGAATTCAACCAGACTGCGAGTTTGACCGCTCGCTATGAAGTGCGCTGACCACCAGGGGGTGGCACAGAACATAGTGGGCGTTGGTGACCCAGCATTTTCAATGGACGGCAGAGGAAGCGCTGCCAGCCCTGATGGGCCCGGGTGAGAACGGGACTGTGGCAGGATGGTGGAGCCGGTGAGTGGGCAGTGCCAGGCCAAGGCAGGTGCGAGCGGGGCCTGATGCCCCTGCAGATTGTCCCACAGATGGCGACCAGCAGTGAGGGGCAAGGCCACTGCCCTGCTCCCAGGAACTGAGGGAGAAAGGGCAAATAGCAATATTAAAATATTTCTTCTAATAATTTTCCTTTCAATGTGCACGAATCTGTGCACTGGGCCACTAGTATATATTATAATTTAATATCTTTTTAAAATATAGTAATAATTTGCTGAGTTTAATTAAATTTGTTAAAAATTGACCCAAGAATTATTTTGCAACTTTAAGAAAATGAGAATAAATTTTTAAAGCATTTACTTTCTCTCATTATCAGCTACTATTGTTTTCAAATATATTTGTAACCAGTGACTTATGCTTTTCTTTTACATTTGCTTAATAAAAGATGACTACTTGGCACCACTATAAGAATAATTTATTTATACATTATGTTAAAATAATAAACAAGTACAAATAATTGCATTAGGTTATTCTGCTTTTAAAGAAGCCCCGGTTCAAAGTCCATGGTTCAAGCATCTGTAAGAAATGTATTTTTCCAGATTCCAAACCAGGAGATGAGTATAGATCCCATTTACCTAAAGTAGCTCATAAAGTTTCCCTTGAAATCATGTTTGCTGGCAGTTATGGGGTCCACAACCCTTGGTGAGGCCGTGTCCATTCCAGGGTGGAAAGCATCTGCTGTGCCTCTAAAATAGACAATCACCAAATCATGGAGCTTCGGGGGCTCAAGCCCTAGTGGCCAGTCATGGTGGCCTGGAGCCTGATGCAGGCAGAACTCCATTCTTCACCTCTGCTACTCCAAGGAGATACACTTTTGGATGCCATCTCAGAACTCAGCCCACGTTGGAGCACCCCAAGCCAGGTGTGATGGAAGAGCCAGGGACACAGTGGGAACACAGCTGAGAGTGGATTGATTAAGTCTGTATCACCTGACTATCACACCCATTTACATTCTGAAATAATAGCCCAGCCATCACCTTGCCTGTAGCCCACTGAGATCCACTGCTGATGTATGACCTCCAGAACTGTAACACAATAAGTCTGTGTTGTGTTCAAACACTGAGTTGGTGGCCATTTGTTACAGCAGCCACAGGAAACAAATATGTCTCTCCCCAAATTCCAGAGCCCAGCTCCTCAGGGCCATGCAAGGTGACATCTAGCTGTTCCAGGGAGCAGGTTCACTTTCTCATTGAGACTCTGAAAAAAATGTTTGAGGAGAGACCTAACTTCAAATGAATGAAATTGTGGGCGATCAGACAACCCTTTGGGGACAGCAGGACCATGCTGAAATTTACCTTCACTGCCCTGGAGTGGTGAGTGTGCTCCAAGGTGGACTTCCTGACAGTGGCAAGATGGGAGTGGGTATGGAGGCTCCTCAGGTACCCCGGGTGGGTCTGCTTGTTCCAGGGTGGTTTCCCCAAGAAGGCACCATGCATCACAGAAGCAGCAGAGGGTCATGAGCACCTCAGAATGATGAAACTGGGACATTAAGAATGGACACACCATGCAATATGAAGAGCAAGAGCTGCACATCTCTGGGGAAGCACAGCCCAGCCACACAGACAGTGAATGAGTGGTCACGACCCCAGCACTCAATACCTGAGAGTCATTTTCCAGACCTTCGGAATAGAACACTCCATGAATGTGACCAGTAACCTGAGTCTCCCTGGGGTGAGGGCACTCTGTCTCATCTCTTTCAACCTGGTTGAATCCTCTTCTCCTTCCTTTGCACAAAACTTGGAGCTGAAAGTGACCCCTTGACTTCACAGTATGTGGGGAACATTGCCCCAGTACCCTCAATTAAATCAGAGTCCTGTATCCAAACCATAGGACTTTCACGCTTATACCAGAGATCTGACCCAGGATGGGTTTTCTCAGGATCAAAAATTTAGTAATCTTTCCCCGACCAAAATAATAATAATAATAATAATAATAACAACAACAACAATTTTTGCCTCTTCATGACACATTAAGTCAGTGAATCAAAATCACTGGTAGTGTCCTGGTGGAGTCAAAGTGGGCTCTGAGAAGGGGCTGCTTGGATGTTGTTTCTGGTATGCCTATGCACAGCCATAGTGTGACCCTTTGGTGTACCCTGTCTTTTCTGATCATTTCATTTTTGCTATAGTCATTGCTGTCCTTTTCTGGGAGTCACTGGACCTCATGAAATGGAAATATCTGGGACTCCTAATTGGAGGTGTGTATGTCCACTCAGAGGGGAACCAAAAGCCTGCTGGCTACTCTCAAGGTTGCCCCCACTGTCAGCTACAGCTCTGCAAAAAAAACCCCATCCCCAAAGTGTGCAGCATGAGAAGCAGTGTGGATAGTAGGAACACGTGACTCTGAACACATGACCAAGGAACTGTGGTCGAAGGAGAGGAAGTATTTGGCACAGCAGCTGTGGCTGCAGTGCTTATTTCCCAAAGGCAACCAGGGGTTTGAACAGGCAGTCGAGGGGCAAGGGCCTTCTCTTTGTTCCAGGCACAGTGCTGGGTTCTCACTGTGTCCACCTTGGCCCATGGGGGTTGAGTAAACACCTGTCACCTGCCACCTGCCACCTGTCTTAGGAGCGCATTGCACACTTTCTGGGAACATGACTCTGTCCTCGGTCAGACCAGAATGAAAGGAACAAGCATGGCCTCTCTACAAGATGCCGTGCTTCGGTGTCCCAGATTTCACAGCTAAGACCTGTTAGTCCATCAAACAGCCACACAAGGAAAAATAAACATAAATATGAACAGTTTAAAGTCGGTGTTCACTAGTCCTCTGAGCAGCATCCCACACTTCCCCAGTCTCTTCACGAAGAAAAGATTAATCAGCTCTTATCTCCTTGGACCTCTGGCTCATTTTTGCTCATCTCTGGTTAGAAATGCACAGAGCAAGTCAGAAATATGGAGAGGTCACAAGAGAGGGAAATAGGGGTCCTGGTACTCCTACCCCATGGAGAATTGAAAGAGCCTCCTCTCCACCTGTGTTGACGGGATAATGCGGACACCTTGAGGGCAAGGCTCCCCATCCTTTCCAGCCGCATCTCCCACCTCCACCATTCCTGTCAAGGCTTACATTTGAAACCTGGTTTGCCTCCATCTCCGCATAAGCTCTGCCCACAGCCCATCTATTGTCTTCCCTCAGCGTCCAGCACTTCCACTGTGAGGACATGTCAACCCCAATGAATACCAACACCCCCTCTCACCTGTGACACCTGGGCTACTAGTCTTCTTCCATTGGTTGAGAGAGCCTTGAGGGTATAGTCAGTACTCAGCAAATATCCATTCAAATGGAGCCATTGATGTGGGGCCCCCAGTATGGAGCATCTAGAGCATCATCTGACTCTGGAGGAAGAAGATGCTCATGCTCAGCCAGGTCATCCTAGGGCCTGGGCTGGTTACCACCGAAGGAAAGCTAAAGGTGATCCATCAGCTGCTGGACAGAATGGTCCCCTGGAAAATTATGGAGTCCTTAGCTGTAAGAAATGAAACTGTCTTAAACAAATAGGAATGTATTGGCAAGACAAAGAGTCTGGAGTTTTGGAAAAGGTGAGAACTCATCAGCTAGAAGGGGTTGAGTGGTGGAAGGGGGAAGTTCCTCAGCAGGAGGAGGGGGCTCAGGAAGAAGCCCACAGCTTCCACCTCAGTGAGGGCCTCCATCTGTGATGTCCTCCTGCTTTGCATACTTCATCCTGAGTAGAGCATGAGGGCAGGGTTGGCTGAGCTCAGCAATCTAGTCCACAGGACAGATCTGTTTCCTGGGGTACTTCCCTGGTAGGTGGGCACCCAGAAGCCTGTCCTCCAATAGCCACAGAGAGGAAATTTACCAAGGTAAACTTTTTTCATGTTCCTGGGAAAGGGAATGGGGCTGTATAACCAACCCCATGCCGCCCTGCAGGAAGTCCTAGAGGATGTGGTCTAAGCACATTGAGACCCAGGATTCTTGGGTCCTTTAGTTTCTGGGGATGATTCTGCTGGGAGCCTGGAAGCAAATGTGTGAGTATGTGTATACAGGTCCTGGTACTCCTACCTTATGGAAACAGGTTATCTTGGTTGCAGAATATCTGAAAATTTTGTGCTTAACAAAAATTACATTAGAAACTAAGATTTGTATCTCTAGTACACCCAGTTATAGGGTATGCTCAATCATGCCCATAGAGTTAGAATAAAAAAGGAAAAAGTAATTGAATAAGATGGATGTATTAAATTGTGAAGTGTGATCTAAGCTGATATGAAAGGGGGGAAAAGAAAAGAATTGGCTAACTGTAAGGCTTATTTACCCATAGAATAATGTCCCAAAGGAAACGGGACCTAGTTTCATGAATCCTTCAAAAGAGAGTTTGACACAACCCAGAAGAATGTGCAGTTGAAAGCAATCTTGTATTGGCAGGAAGTAGACTACATGACCTAAAATCTAATGCATGTATGTCTGTGATTTCAAAACGCATTGCTGCAGAGTTCGGGGATCTGGCTTTAATTTGGAGATCCTCACTGATTATGTGAGTGAGAATGCCTCAACAGAAGTCCGCGTTTGAAGGCTGTGAAGACTGAGGTCCCCTCATGCTATAAGAGCAAAGGAACCCCAGAGCAAAGGTCAGATTGTTCTGGCCCTCAGAAGGATGCCTGGCTCCATCCTGATTTTCCATCCTTCACAGAGAGACCTGAAAGGAAGTTAAGTTTTGGGTCCCCACTGGAAATAGAGGGAGTCCTCCATCTCATTTCTCCATGTGAGGGCAGAGTGAAGCCAGTGGAGGCACTGCTCCTAGCCTAATGGATAGACATCTCATGGGGTTCCTTCCCTGAGACAGAGAACTGTCCTCAATATGACAGTAATAGTTTTCTCCTATCCCACCCAAACCAATACTGCCAGTGGGGCTGGGCTCAGGCACACACATTCTCCCTCTAGGATAATAGAACCTTCCTACTAGCCTCCCTATAT